AAAAAAGAGGTAAGTTGATGCTTTATATTTTTTATAACACTTATGATGAGTCATAGGAGAAAAATTTTCATTGACTTTTATCCAAGATTACTAGATGCTACAAAATTCAATATTCAGAAATTATCCTGGAACATTCAAAAATGAATTTTAAATATATATACAATATATGCATTAGTGATGCACACAAGTTGCTCAATTAAGGTGGTCAACTAAGTGCTTTCAGGAATAAAATGAATGATGTTAAGATACACTCATGGGGGAGATGGGATGAAAATATGAAATCAGTGATCAAACAGAACAGCAAAGAATACTTAGCATTCGTATACTTTTTAAAGCAAAGCGCTAGGTGTCAAATTGCCATAATACTTTGATTCTCTCAGCTATACTGGAAAGAGCTCTGTAACAACTTTATTTTTAAATGTAAATTTTTGAAATGTATCAGTATTATATCCTTTGCAACTATTTAAATTCATGATGAAAAAAATTTTGATGTTCAACCTCAAGTTTTGACAGGAAATGCCTAGTTTTAATAAACTTCTTAAGATATTGAGGCATATTCTTGAGGAACCTTGAGCAGGAACTCAGTGTTTGTCTTCATCTGACATTCATTTCTTTGGGTTCCCCTGTCATTTCTCTTTCAGTCACTAAAGAGTTAATAAGCATGTACTGTGTCTCAGGCACTCTGCTGAGCTCTGGGACATCACAGTGAATAATAAATATGTCAGGGTTTCTGTTGTGATGGATCTTACCATCTAGTGATACATTAGGTTCCATGATTGTAGGAACCCCATTTCTCATCTGTTCAATACTGATCTGTTTCATTTTAAGCTGAACTTATAAAGGAAGAAGATGGTTCTTTCTCAAGTGGGAATTGCAGAACCTGATTCATCCTTTGTAGCTGACCTGCAGTTACCATATGGAGATGTTAATATGGCTGAGAAAAATCAGGCCTCGGTAAGTTTCTGTTTGAAAAGTCACTTTAGCCTGTGCTTTGACTAAAGACATGACGTGAGCTGTGCCCATGTGAGGCTGCCATTTATACAGTGATGCTGCCAGGGCCTGCCGATGACTGCCTTCTCACCCTGACTGGGGCCAAACACAGATCTTGATCTCTCTGCTAGGCCAACTTGCAGCCAAGTGTAGACATTTTGCCTTATATGCATTTTCCTTTTGTATATATCATAAACCCCACAATGCATATTTTTATTCAAATATTCAATTGTCTTTTAAAGATATCTGAGTAACAAGAAAAAGCATAGAAGTTAGCCCTTCTGGTATAGACCACTTGGTGTAGATCAAGATTCACATGGAATTATTTTCCTTCCCCCTAAGGAAACTTTAAACTTTACTGTAGTGCAGGTCTGCAGGTGGTGAATTAGTTCAGCTTTTATACGTCTTTTATATTTTTAAAAGACATTTTTGGTGGCTATAGAAAATTCTAGGTTGATGATTTTTTTCAGGACTTTAAAAATGTTGCTCCATTGTCTTCTCACTTGCATTGTTTCTGATGGGAAACCTGCTGTCAATCTTATCTTTGTTCCTCTGCACTTAATATGTTGTTTTCTGGCTGCTTTTAACATTTTCTTTTTGTCACTGATTTTGAGCATTTGACTCTATTGTGCCTTGATGTTCTTTATTTCAGTTTCTCCTGAGCTACAGTTTGAGTTTCTTGGATCTTTGGGCTTATGGTTTTTATTAAGTTTGAGGATATAGGTGTATTATTTCTTCATATATTTTTTTCTGTCACTCTCTCACTCTCTTTTGGGCATTGCAGTAACCTATGAGGCTTTCAGAAGTTGGCCATCTTTGACAGAGCATTACCTATAGGCCATGACAGAGTTCTCCATTTTGACTTTCTCCAGGGTGCGGAGAACAACCTGTACAACCAGTACGAGGAGAAGGTACGCCCCTGCATTGATCTGATCGACTCCCTGCGTGCGCTGGGTGTGGAGCAGGACCTGGCCCTGCCAGCCATTGCTGTCATTGGGGACCAGAGCTCAGGCAAGAGCTCCGTGCTGGAGGCGCTGTCGGGAGTCGCCCTTCCTAGAGGCAGTGGTAAGAGCTTATACTTTGCATTAGTCTTCTCTGACTATTTATAAATAAATAGTCTTTATTAATTTTATAATAAAATACTTTAGATGGGTGCTTAAACAAAATAAGTATTTTCTCATGGCTCTGGAGACTGGGACTCCAAGGTTAAGGTCTAGTTTCTTTTAAGGCCTTTCTCTGTGGCTTATAGATGGTCACCTTCTCCCTTTGCCCTCACATGGCCTTTCTTCTGTGCATAAGCATTGCTGGTTCTCTCTTTTTATGAGGACACAAGTCACATTGGATTAGGGCCCACACTCATGACCTCATTCAACCTTAATTACCTCTTTAAAACCCATATCTTCAAATACAGTCATGGTAGGGGTTGGGGTTTCAACAGATATATTTAGAAGGAACACTATTCAATCCATAACACCATCTCATTGTACATTTGTTGTATAAATTGAATATAATCTGAAATTATTGGAAGATCTGAATAAATGCATTTGAATCCCCAATCCAGAACTATGTTTATGTGATGTCTGTCCTGAACTCCTTTCCAAGAGGTGGCCCCTGACCTTGAGAGATAAAAATTGGTGCGCTGATTGGTGATGCTATTTGAATTGCAAGGCCAAGGATATCAGTGAGGGCTCATGGGAAGAGGTTAGACCTGGGATGGGTCTTAGAATACAGGTCAGACCTGGTAGATAGGTGGGATTTGGAAACAGATTGCAAAAAGAGGATGGTAGTAAGATGGACTGATGGTGGCAGTATACCTTTCTAAGGGGTGTACAGTGTGTATTCTGGGGGGAGATAATTGAGGATGTTTGTATGATTTGGGAGTATTTCCCACTACAATTTGCCACCTGAGCTGATGACAAAACACTGGGACGAGGCAGGAAGCCTAAAATGGTGACTTTCAAGCGTTTGTGAACTTTTGCTCACCTAGGATACACATTGAAAAATGCATGTACTTGAGGTCACCTCTGACATACTGCATCAGAGGATCAAAGGATGAAACCAGACAGTTTTCTGTTTTAAATGTCTTCCCAGATGATTATATAAAAGTTTGAGAACCATTGGTCTAAGGCATCATGCAGGACTTATTTTAAGAGGAGATCACAGAACTAATGTGAGTGTGGCCTTCTAGGAATTGTGACAAGATGTCCTCTGGTGCTGAAACTGAAAAAACTTGTGAATAAAGATGAGTGGAGAGGCAAGGTCAGTTACCAGGACTTAGAGATCGAGATTTCAGATGCTTCCGAGGTGGAAAAGGAAATCAATAAAGGTAAGGACCCTACATTTGGATTGTCCCATTGGATGCCTGGTGAAGTGGGTGGGGTCCCCTGTGACCCTTCCCACTCCCACCCTTCCAGGCGTATGGGGCTCCCTGAGGACCCCTTTATCCTCCACATCAGGCCCACTTCCCTCATGTTTTCTCCTTTTATCCTTGTTAAGACCAGCACATTTGGACAGAATCTGATACCAATAATTTATTGCTTGGTATATAAATAAGTATCTGGGAATAAAGTAGCGTGCATTCTGGGA